TCCCTCACAATATTTTCTCTAAGCAGCAGATATATGCTTTACAGTAGTGGGTTCACACCCATAGGATTAACTCATTTTATGTGTCTAATGTGGCCTACTGAAGATTCATTTGTTATACCAAATAGGAGAAAACAACCTGTAAGGTTAGAATGCTGTCCTAAAGGATACAATATGTGGCTTAAAACAGTGACCAATGAGTGGTGCAATTTCTTCCATAGCCAGGAACCGGGGGATTGGAGAGGGAGTGGTTCTTCTTACTATTACTCGCATAATTTTGGCTTCCATTCCCATAATCTTGGTCTTTGTGAGTTTAGAAAGTCTAGTGTACAAGGGAGGAGTACTTTCACCAGGAAACAAGGTCATGAGTCTGAAGGGTGGGAAGCTGAGACTTCCCTATCGCTTTGTCTTTGAGCTCTTCATGCCACTAAACCAATAGGAAAAGAAGAGAGTCACTGTATTGGACTAGGTAACTGATTCTAATTTTAAGGAAAATTTTGGATTGTTGCTATACAATTGAGCAAAAAGGATTATGTCTGGAATCCTGGTGCTTCACTGGGGTGCCTTTTGCTACTCTCTTGCCCAACTGTCTTTATCAACTGAAAACTGCAACAATCCAATAAAGGCAGGACCATAAGGACTCAACTACATTAGGAATAAAGGTTTGTTATACCCAACCAGGTAAATAACCCCATCTATCCAGGTGTTGACCAAGGGTAAGAGGAGCATAGAGTGGAGAGGAAAGGCAGCTATGGTTACTGGTATAGCCTCATGAAGTTACAGAGGAGAAAAATGTAGCACTATGTTTCACATTCCTCTCCCCTCCCCATGCCCATCATTATTTTAATGAATAATGTCAGTAGTGGCTAATATTTTAGTTGAAGTATGATGAAACTGACATCACCCTGAAATAACATGGTAACTTATGTGACTTTATGCAACTTCTTGGTTGAAAAAATGTAATTTTCACTCAGTTGAAGGACAAGAATCAATGATTAGGTACAAAAAGGGTAGGAAGTGCTGGATATAACTTTCATTTGCCCCTCCAGCTCCACTCTCCACCCTTCTTCAACCTGCCCTGTGCCCCAGGAGGCTGACCTGTATAGACTACATTGACTGATGAGATCCTATGACTTCTGATTTCCAATTGGGTTCAGCTTATGGGGAACCAGGACATATTAGAAGAAAAGAGGGAAGTAAACTGAGGGTATTTATTCACTGAAATGTCAGCTCAGGCTGACTGTAACCATCTTCAGCTCAAAGTGGCCTTCTATACACAACTTTCACCTTTATAGTTCTAGTATCTTTCAGCCCCAAAGCAGTAACAGCTCCTCGTTACTAGCCCTGGGTTGCTGCATTATCATGTAGTTCTCCTACACTCTGCCAACATCTTTTTAAATAGCCCTTTCGTAAATAAACCATTTTCAAATTATCTTGAGTGTTCCATCTGTTAAATTAGTGGATCTCTGTTTGATACAATTCCCCAGGCAGTATTCTTGGTACAGCCTACTATGCCTGGCTAGGTATGTGCCAGATACCTATGGGCAGTTTTCTAAAGGGTTACTTTATACATGTGCATATATGGATATATATTGGAGATAATGAAATTTTGTCCAGCTAACTGGAATTGACTTTTAGAATTTTATAGTTATCTATGCAGTATTTCAAAGGATCATTGGATTTACAAGAATCAGTCATGAGATTCTTGCTTAGGTCCAGAAATATATGTCCATCAAGTAGGAGCAATGACTGCTTTATGGCTATAGTATGTCTTTTTTAAAGTTTCAAATTTGGGGGTTGATATATTTATCTATATTTATCTTGCTTTATGTACTAGAACATTATTGACATTGTTTTGAGTCATACTATGTCATGGACTTTATCCACTGGTTTCCTTCTGGTTCATTTGTGATTTTTTTTTTTTCTTTTTAAAGACAGTGTCTCATTATGCTGTTCAGGCTTGTCTCAAAATCCTGGGCTCAAGTAATCTTCCCACCTCAGTGTAATAGGATTTTAACTGTGGTTCTTTAATTTCTGTTGCCTTTAGAATTACTTCCGTGAAACAGTATTCTTGCATAAGTACTATGTGGTCAGATTCCTTCAGTCAAAAAAAGGAAAGGTTTCCCAGGTTGTTAGCATGATTGTCTAAAATTATTTGATGCAATTCCATAGAGTCTAGAACTACCACAGGAAGTTGTCTAAATGCTGTGGACATTAATCTCACAGTCTGCAGGCTTGTCACGCAGCAGGATGTACAAACTAAATGCAAAAACTATCAGACTACCCAGGTACAGCTTTTGCAAGGTCATATTTTTACTATTTGATCAAGATTTTTTGGAAAATAAAGTTGATGCAAATTTTTGATGACTTAATAAATAATTTTAAGCGATACAAATGGTTATTTTAATGGTAAATAATTTGCTTCATATTAATATTTCACTGTTAAATTTCCATAGAGCTATAGCTTTTTGGGTTCCCAGTAAGATGGCAGAATGGGTAATCATTTTGCAGTATATACAATAATTCTACAAACTTGATTTCAGCTCAATCTCAAGGAAAAAGTAAAATATTTACTTCTCCCACATGGTCAACAAGATGCTAACAATAAGTAACAATAAGATCATTTCTAATGACATTATTAATAATGATAATCATTTTTCAAAAACAGCTTCTGGGAGAAGACATCACAAAACACCATATAGACTTCTTGATTGAATCATTCAAAGTAGTAGCTTGTTGGAGGGAAAATTAGCACATTTATGCTCTCCTTAAAACAGTTCTACACTTGCCCAGTTTCTGAACACAAATTGTACACATGCTGGGTTAATGTTATCAGCCTCCATCATAAAAACTGATGTAACTTCTCTCTTATGAATACTTATTTGGAACATTTTCACAACCAGGAAATATAAACCCTCAATAGGCTTCTGTACAATTAGGATTTTCAAAACAGTCAAAATTGGATTAATGATGCTCAGCATATTTAAATATGGAAAATTGTATTTCTCCTGGTTCTAACAGAAATTCTGTAGGCTGCCCTAGATTTTCTTTCATTTTATATTGGTATAAACATTCTTAATACATGCTACAAAATGGATGAACCTTGAAAACATTATGCTAAATGAAAGAAGCCAGTCATAAAAGAGCACACATATTACATGATTCCATTTATATGAAATGTCCAGAACAGGGAAATCTTCAGTAAGTATATCAGTAGTTGCTTAGAGCTAGAGAGACTGGGTAAGTTGGGAGGATAAAGGATACAGAGTTTCTTTTTGAGGTGATTAAAATGTTCTAACATTGACTTTGTTTATGCTTGCATATAGTTACGAATATACTAAAAACCATTGAATTGCATACTTTGAAGAGGTGAATTGTATGGGTTAATTATATCTCAATTAAGCTATTGTAACAAGTAAGGCAGGAAGCTTATACATAACACCTAGTACACTGCATTGATTCAGAATCTCCTTTGTTCCAGGGCCTGAACAACTAATTCAATTTAATAAAAATGAGGAGGCCCTCATTGTAGGCAAAACACTGTGTAACATCATTGCCAGAGATAAAAGATGAAACAGCTTCTACCTTTAAGGAGGTTAAAACGCAGTATGGGGGGATGATATAATAATGATGATGATAATTATGACAAACATTAATGATGGTAACAGTAGGAGGAGAACACACAATACTAATCGAATATTAACTTATGTGCCTGGAACTATGTTAAATACTTTAAATGCTATTTTTTCTTATTCTCATAACAATCCTAGATTTAGATACTATTATTTTTCTCTGATTTTGTATATGAGGAAATTGAGTCACATAGAGGTGAAATAACTTATTTAGAGTCAGATAACAAGAAATGGCAGAATGAGAATTTCAACTGAGGGCTGAGTTGAGAGCCAGGGCTCTTAGCAACTACATAATATAAAGCAAATTAAGGTAAGTGCCATGACAAGAGTAAAAAAAAAGTTCTAGACCCATTTGATGAAAGAACACACCTTGTTTGCAGCTCAGAAAGGAATGAGAAAGTTCAGCTCTAAAATACATATGTTTTTGCATGTTTGACTACAATTTTCATGAGGTATGAAGTAGCTACAAACCTAGATTAAATACTTTTTGTAAAATAAACATGTTCAAACAGAAATGACTATAAGAAATGTCACAATGCCAAATGTAAACTTTCTTCTGAAAATAAAATTTTAATTATCAAGAGAGTTGTCACAAGATAGAAAACAAGGACCCCAAATTGTATTTATTCTCCTATCTCCAATCAAACCTTCATCAGCCTGGGATCTTTTAAATTCTTCTTTTTGTGCTCTCAATTAAATTTCTAATACAGACTGTATTGATTTTTCCCATCTCCCGTCTTCTTTCTTATTGACTTTTGCACTGCTTCCCTTTCCTATAGTCAAAGCTAGTTGAATGTTATAGCTAAAGCTATTCTCCTTACTAATCACAAAGCAAATCACTAAGAACAACTTTAGTGCTTTTTGCATAGGGACAAATTACTTTGCTTTCAATCTGGAAGCTACTTATTAAATGCTCACCTAAATCAATTTAGTCTATTGTCCTCTACATATTTCTATAGCACTTTTCTCTACCATAAATTCTATACTTAATCTAAAAAATATCCTTCCTCTTTATCAAGTCCTCATGAGTGCTTTTAAAATTTCCTTCACAGACCCTTTACTGGAACATTGTTTTGGCTATAATCAAAGGAATAATGATACAGTTTTATTTCTAAGTCAGCAATGCTAATAAGCATGAAATATTATGATAGACCACTCTCCTCAGTCATTACCATAAAAACCAATGTAACTAAAATGAGTATTTCCTTCCACTATGGCATAAATGATCACTTCTGGGTCAATCTATACACTACAGGAAGATGTAGTAGAAGTATGTTATTTTATATATATAATGAAATAGATGTTCTAGTGTTCTGTGTTATTGGTCAGATTAAGTTAGGTGATTCTGCAGTAATAAAGAGACCCACAATCTCAGTGGCTTAACACATAACAGTTTATTTCTTATTCTCAAAAAGTGTACTGCAAGTCCATCAGCACTCCAGGGCAGGTCCCTTCTAAACAGCAACTTAGAGATCCAGGGTGCATCCATCTTGTAGGTATGCCATTTGGAACACATTTCATTCAGGCCACTGAGGCAGGTAAGAGAGAGCTGGAGGGTCATGCAGGACTTTTTACTGCTCCAGTATGGAAACAAAACATCACTTCTGTGTACAATCCCTCTGCTAGAAGTAGTCGAATGGCATCGCCTAACTATAAGGGGCTGGGAAGTGAATGGGAGCACATAGATATATGATGAGCTGTAAATGTCTTTGCCATATTCTACAAATAATATAAGCTTTTAAAAAACATTTTAATGAACAACAATTTTGAAAAACTCTATATGAATACAAAATATCCCATAAATGTAATAGTTTTTACCAGCATATACATATAGATATATTTTTAGGAAAAAGCTAGTTATGAAGCTCCAAGGTGATCTAACATGGCATTACCATAACGTTCCAAGAACCTTACTGAGAGGTTCCGATACTTCCACTGCAAAAATTTGGTGAGATGACAGGTTATTTATCTACTAGATGTTTTCTATCATTATAATTTTACTTGTGATCCAAGGGATCTGAGACAAAATCAGCAATGTAAAAACAATAGCTATTGAGCTTCTCATCACACCAAAATACTTTGTACCTATGACATTACAATCAGCACATCCTCTGTTATAGGTGTTTTTGATACATAAATTTATAATTGATGTTACTCTGATATATAAAAATGTAAAGTAAAAATAAATTTTTCAACTCCTTTTAACATTAGTGGCAAAAGTGAATCAGCAACATACACAAGGCACCAAATCTTAGTAAAATATGGACACAGTAAGATCAAAGATGTTACTATTACCTAAATTTAACTCCTATTTTAATTCAATATTAATGCTTAAGACAACAAACTTTTAACAGCATACTTACTAAGATTTTGGCAGTAGTTTTACGTAAGAAGACACAGAGCGTACTAGAGGTCTGGCACTCAACTTGCTTACAGTAAACCAGCTTCAATATGAAGGCATTGAATATTTTTTAAAAACCTTCTTTTCACATGCTAAGTATTTTGGCAAGTGTGCAATTAAACACAGTAACAAAATTAATATAGCAAGATTAAGAAACTACAAACTTGAAACTTGTATGCTAAGCATAAATTATATTTAAAAAAACTGGTTATATAGAATATTGCTGGATAATTAAAACAATAGTATAAAACGTGCAAAAAAATTCATAATCTTTCGTAATCAAAAATATCAGGGTCTATTTAAAATGATTCCCTTTGAAAGGGTACCAAAGTTAATTCAAATCATGTAATATTCAAATACTAAATACTACTCAGTACTGTATAGTGACTAGTGCTTAAGTGGAGGTAAATTTCATAGCTATGGAGACATACTTATGCTGTAAACTGGTGTCTTTCTTGTTCACGTAGAGAAGCATACAACATCCCAGAATTTCACTAAGTAAGAAAAGAATGGCTGCTGCACTGGCAAAATTAGGGTGTGTAAGGATCAAAGGCACACTATTCAGCTAGCCAAACTGATTAGCAAACACTTCCCCTCCCACCCCCACAAGCCCTTTCCCCATGTAAACAAAAGTTTATTAAGGAAAAAAGTAAAATAAACTCAACTCATCCATAAAAGTAAGGATTTTGAGACATCAATGTTAATTCCTTACTTCAAAAATGTCAGCTACAATCATCTGGAAATTTCTGATTATATTTTAAAGATGTATCCAAATTAGATACATTTAACCATAGATACATATTTTTGGTCAAAATTATTCATTATCTAAAGCATTTTACTTTAATTCCCAACATTTTAACCACTAGTATAACAACAGTTTTAGTTCCCAGAGGAATTAACCACTGGAAGGAAACACAGACAAACAAACAAACAAACAAACAAACAAACAAAACAAACCATATATTAATATTTAAGCTGCAGGCAACAATTACGGCCCTTTCTGGCACAGTGGCATTTGACTGGCAACTCAAAGTCCAGGAATAATTCTACTAACACAGGTAAATTCATGCATTTGGTAAATATGCCCTAACTTTCACAGTTGAAGTTTCCTTTTGACTTTGCTTTTTTAAAGCATGGAAATCTTGCTTTTTTTTCTTGATGTTACCCTGACTTGTGACTGGAAGCAGACTTCTTTTTCTTCTTCTTACTATGTTTCTTGTGCTGTTTCTTCTTCTTCTTCTTCTTCACTTTATCCACTACTTTTTCTCGCTCTTCATGTCTTCTCTTCTTTTTTGATTGCATCTCTTCTTCATAATCTGATTCTGATGAGGACTCAGATGATAAAGGTTTTTCTTCAGGATAAGTTTTCTTTCTTTTCTTGCTGAGGCTTCTAGCATACTTTTCTTTCTCTGTTTCATCCTCTGACTTCTTTTTCTTTTTTGAAGATTCCTTGCTTTCTGATTCCGATTCACATGTAGAGCTTTGTGATGATTTATATGAACGGTTCTTCTTTTTCTTTCTCTTTTTTCCTTGTTTCTTTTCCTCATCCTCAGAATCTGAAGAACTGCTTGAAGAATCAGAGCTTGATGAAGAAGAAGATGAAGGCTGACACGATTTCTTTTTTTTCCTTTTCTTTCTTTCTCTTTTTTTAGATGAGCTCTCATTTCCACTTAATAATTTCTCTCTGCTTTTTTCAAGCTCTTTCTTCCAATTCTCATTCATTTTTTCTTCAAATTCAGCCAATGCTTTAGAGCCTTTCTTTTTCTTTTCTAATTGTTTCTTCACTTCTTCCCAGGTGGGCCTTGGTCGATTTAGGTAATCTTGGATTGTTGGGCCTGCAGATTGAGTTGGGCCTCTCCATCTGGCCATTGCTATAGGATTCATGTAGGCCACCCGATTATCCCGCTTCCCCATGGTGCCTGATGGTTTTCAGAGCAGACTCTCAGTTGCCAAGGAGAACAAGGATAGATACTCTCCTTAGTTCTTCACTTGCTGGTATATCAAGCAGCCTGCATTCTGTGAGAGAAGCAGATAGAATGATTATAAAACACCTTTAATATGAGATAAAATAAACACATAAATTTAATTAAAAATCTGTTCCCAGCAGATCATCTCCAACTTATGAAAGTGCAGCATAATGCACTCCACTCCTTTTGAGAGAAACTTGGGAATCACACCTGAAAAATCTTTCTCTATCGACTCTCACATTCAATCCATTAATAAATCCTGCTGTTTAAACCTCCACAATAGGACTCATATCCATTCACTTCTCTCCAAATATACTGTCATCGACTTGGTCCAGGTCACTATCATCTCTCACTTGGACTATTAATCTCTACTATCTATTAAATGTTTATTATCTGTCAGGGACTGCTTAGTGTTTACAATGGATTATGTCATTCAATCACTAGACTAAACCTATGAATTTTATTCATTATTATCCCTATTTCATGGTTGGAGAAACTGAGGCTTAGAAAATATGAGTATAATTGCATAAAGTAACATGGCTAATAAATGACAGAACCAGAATTTAAACCAAGGAAGCCTGATTCCAAAGCCTGCACATATTACATAACAATATACTATCTCCTTATACCAACCTTTTAATCGGTAGCCTTATTTCTACCTTCACTCCCTTCTCTTCTAGTCCCACACTGTAATCAGAGGGAACTTAAAATACTCCAGTGGCTTTACATAGTAATGAAAGTCAAATCTAAACTCCCATAAAGGTCCTATATGATCTTCCCTATGTCTCTTACTTTCATCTACACTGTCACTCAGCCCTTTTCTCAATTCTTTCTCTTCCAATCTTCTCTTGATTTCTGGAACATGCTAAGCTTAGCCAGCATGGACAATTATACCTTGTCTTTCAGATCTCAGCTTAAATGTCAATTGCTCAGAAAAGCAACTATTAGGTTAAACTATATAAAACTTCCCATTTTACAGGACACACACAATTCAAATACTGTTAATTTTATATGGCTCAACCTTATACTAAAGTAGGTCACCTCTCTGTCTACCCATCATCCTCATTTTCTTGTATCACAGTTCCTTGTTTCTTTTATTCATAGCATTTGTTAAATTGGTAATTGATTGTTCAGTTGTATTATTCTACTGTTAAATGTAAAACCAAGAAGGGCAGAGGTCCTGTTTGGCCTATTTTATTCACCATGATGTTCCCAGTCCCTAGGATAGCATCAGACACATACTAAGTACTCAATAAATATTTGCTCAGTAAAAAATAAACGAATGCATGGATAAATGGATGGATGGGTAACTCTGGGAAAGAGAAGCATTCAGAGGGAGCCTCCTGGAGTTGGTGATGTCTACACAGGATTTTAACAAATGAACAGGTGTTCACCCAGGAAATGAGGAAATGAAAGGCATTCCAGGCAGAGGAAACAATATGTGAAAAACAGGGATTTGAAAGAGCACCAAGTATTTAGTGTTGATAGAGCCCAAAGAGCAATAGAGCAGGGGGTAGGAGACAAGATTGCATAGACAGGAAGAAGCCTGATTATGGAGGTCCTCTTGGGTCATTTTAAAATCTTGGATTTCTCCCTATAGTTGAGAAGGAGCCAGTAAAGTATTCTAAACAGAAGAGAAAGACGATCAGACTTATCATAGATTTTTCTGTCAGTCTCCATCTTGACTCTAACCCTTTAAATCAACCTAACATACCTACCCATCATAAACTCAATGGTACAGACAGTTCAGTGACTCTTGATGATAGTTTCCTGCATTAGATTTGCTATTCTTGATCTTATTCTCTTTTTCCTTTAGTTCTCTCCAGCTCCTCTTATGTATTTTTTTCTTCTTATTCCTACCTTAAAAACTTGTCAAACATCATCATATCCCTGACTTGATCATCAGAAGCCCTTAAAGACTTTAGTTCATACTCAACTTGCAGGATTTTTCTGTTACTTGACACTTAGAATAATATAATTCGTTCTAATTTCAGTTTCTTGAGATATACTCCTGACATCAGCTAGAAAAATAGGCAAAGGCCAACTCACAAAGGCTTTGGAGGCTATAATAAGGAGGCTGCAATTCTGTAGGACTTATACTGAAGCTAATGGAGAGATACTATTTTAAGCAGAAGAGTGATATGGTCATACTTGAATACTTAATAGACAATTACTTACAGAGGGAAAGATGAATTGGAGTCAGAAATAACTTAAGTATTCATGCAGACAAGAAACAAAAGAATTTGAACTAAAACAGTGATATTGTGAATGAGAAGAAGGGGAAATATATGAGACATTTTGAGGAGATTCTGCTGAAATTAGTGACCAATTGGATACAAAGGGTGAGAGAGAAAGGAATCCAGGGCAAGGCTCTGGCTTAAGACACCAGATAAAAGGCACTGCCAATGACTAGGTAATAAAAGAAATGACACCAACTTTGAGAAAAGGTCTAGGTTTCATTTTGGACTCATAAAGTACCGAGGAGACATCAGAATAAATCTGCATGTAGGTAACTGAATGTATGGGTGTTGGCACTTTAGAAGGTGATCTGAGTTAGAGATACAGGATTGGGAAGTCACTGAGTGATGACTGAAGTCATGAGAGAAAGGATTTCAAATGAGAAAAAGACTGAACATTGGATCCAATTGAACACCAAAATGCAAGGGACTAGAAGAGATTTAAAGAAGCCTGTAAACTATGCTTTAGGAAATTAGCCAGTGCGGTAAGAGCTAGATTGGTACCAGAAAAATAAAAAGAGTCATGGAAACACAGGGAGAATAAAGTTTCAAGGTGAAGGCAATAATCCTCATGACTCTGTAATGTTTACATTTTCTACAATAAGTAAGAGCTAGGCTAGACTGGTATCAGAATACAAAGTAAGAGTCACAGAAACACAAGGAAAATAAAGTTCCAAGGTGATGGCAATAGTCCTTATGACTCCATAATGTTTACTTTTCTACTTTTCTACAATAAGCAGGTATTATCTTTAACTTTGATAAATCCAGAAGAAAAAGAAAGAAAATATGTCATAGAAAACAACATTAAATGCAACAGATAGGTAAAATATAATAACATCTGAAAATGTCCAGCATACATAGCTATTACGTCATTATAAATCTTTGCTAATGCAATTTCTTTCCCTCCCTCCCTCCCTTCCTCCCTCCCTCCCTCCCTCCCTCCTTTTCTTTCTTTCTTTCTTTCTTTCTTTCTTTCTTTCTTTCTTTCTTTCTTTCTTTCTTTCTTTCTTTCTTTCTTTCTTTCTTCCTTTCTTCCTTTCTTCCTTTCTTCCTTTCTTTTCTTCTTTTCTTCCTTTCTTCCTTTCTTTCTTTCTTGACAGAGTCTCACTCTGTTGCCCAAGCTACAGTGCCATGGCATCAGCCTAGCTGACAGCAACCTCAAACTCCTGGGCTTAAGCAATCCTCCTGCCTCAGCCTCCCGGGTAGCTGGGACTACAGGCACGCGCCACATGACCAGCTATTTTTTTCTCTATATATATACTTTTTTACTTGGCCAATCAATTTCTTTCTATTTTTAGTAGAGATGAGGTTTCGCTCTTGCTCAGGCTGATTTCAAATTCCTGATCTTGAGCAATCTGCCCTCCTCGGCCTCCCAGAGTGCTAGGATTACAGCCGCAAGCCACCACACTGGCCTGCTAGTGTAATTTCAATTAGTGATGGCAGAAGCCAGATGACAGTGAGTTAAAGACTGAATGGAAGTGAGAAACTAGAGACTTAGAGTACATAGACTTAGTTGAGAAGGAAAGTAAAGAGAGAAGAAAATAATTATAAGTGATACAGAGTTAAAGAAAATTATTTTTTGTTCTTCAATTTTAGTATGGAAGAATATTGAACATATTCATAGGATTCTAGAAGGAAAAAAAGTACAAAGTGAAAACATTTTTAAAAGATAGGAAAGTGAGGAATACCTGATGTGGCAAGACCAAAAAAGCAGCAGAAAGGAATCAAATCAAACTGAGAGGTATAAGGCACCTCTTTTTCCAAGAGCAGAGGCAATGAATGCATAAAGCATATGAATGTAGGGGTTTTTTGAAAGGTGGTAGGAGGCGAAAGGGAGAAAGTTGACTATTTCTCACATACAAGCCTTCGTTTTAACTCAATGGTAAGTGCCAAGGTCATCCTCTAAGATTAAGACAGCATAGGAGTTTTGAGATCACTAGTTAAAACTTGGAATAACAGCAGAGGAGGATAGCAGAGGGCACTGACACCACACAAGTGTTGTGGGAAGCCTTTGGAACTGCAGAATCTGTGTGCTCCTTTCCCAGAAGATAAAGCACACTGAAAAAAGAGAAAAAGTAAAACTAAGAAAGTCTCTTTGTTTTAAAAGTATTGTGGTTTTAAAAGTATTGTGGTTTTAAACACTCTTTGTTTTAAAAGTATTGTGGTTTACCTTCTCTGTTTCTATTATAGAACAAAGAGAAACTTGATTCTCTGTATCTCTACTTATTTGCATGAAATATGCTAAAATCTTATAAAGATGAAATGTAACTTGTGACAACCATGCTATTAATCTGGATGTTATAATAGCATTTATTCATTGATTCTTATAACAATTCCCTTTTGATCTTGTATTATATTTCAGACACTATATTATATGTCATGGAGATTCTGGTCTAGTAAAGGTAATAGGCATTACACAAATATCAAATGGGTATATAATCAAGACTGGAAAGATGAAGAAAAAGTACAGGATGTTATTAATGATATAATGAGGGGCCTAATTAAGAAGGTAAGTTCAAGTCTGAGATACTGACATAATCTGAGACCTGATGAATAAAGCAGAGCTAGCCACATGAAGGGGTTAAACTGGATGATAGTAATAAAAGATCCAAATCTGAATGAATTTTACAAGCAGAAGGAATATCATATGTTAAAGCCTTGAAGTAAAATAGAAAAGCTGAATATAATGCAAAATATTCACATTGTTATGCTGTTATAAACTAGTTATCACCCCAATTTCTCCTTGAAAGTGATTACATTAATATGATTTGTTATTGAACATGGTCAGGTAAAAGTCAACATGAATTTAAGT